TTGGCGTGCACGTAAAAGATCCCTTGGAAGTGGGAATTCGATATATGAGTAGGCCGTAGTGCCGCTGTCCGGGCAAAATTTCCCTCATAGCACACTGTATGGCGTATGCCCGTCTCCATTAGCCCAGTTCGGAGCAAAACAGTAGGACGTTAAACCCCATTTCATTTCATTTCTATAAATAATCACGTAAACTGTAGTTCGGATAGAGTCTCTAAACCACGTAGCTTGTAGTTCGCTGTACCCTGTAGTTCAGATAGAGTCTCTAAACTATGATGTATCCTGTAGTTCGATGTACCCAGTAGTTCAGATACAGTATCTAATATATCAATGATATATCAATCCCGAAATAACAAAGTTTTGTCTTAAATGAATATATTGTAAACGCGCTTTAAATATCTTGATGCGGTAGACTTCGTGTAGAAAATTCATGGTACGTTAAATCATTGACAATAATAAAGATCCAATTTTAGTTTTTAGTTGCACACTGTTAACCACCAATAGATGTTTTAATAGCAGTAAATCATATAATTTATTCAGCTCGACGCAAGACCTAAATGTAAATAGATACAGTTGGTTTAACTTGAACAGAGATTTTAATTATCTATGCTGCCTATATGCATATATCACCTTGCAGCTGAATCATATTGTATATCTTTTTAGTTGGTGTTCATATCGTCTTACGTATTTGTCAACATCAAGGCGAACTTGTTCTATTGCCCCATTAGCCTATTCAGACTTGTTACCACGAATTTACTCACCCCACCCTCGCATAGTAAAAAGTTATGAATTTCTTGTTTCACTTATAGACTGAACACTTGTTTGCAATATCATTTTCGGTGGAAACGGGCACTATACCTAAAGAATGAACAAATAGCGGAGACGGGGTTTCAGCCGGCTGATCTAAATTATTTCTTTAGATACAGTAAAGCTTGAAATATGTCAGTTTTCCCTCTTTAGAATGATTTTGTAAACAGTTTTTTTTAGTGTAGTTTCCGTGACGTATTCCCAATAAGCGTTAGAAACAAAGATATATACAAATCTCAGGTACGATATAAGTTTGATACTGGTTGAGAACAGCATCAGAACAACATGAATGGTTAGCACGTGCGCGCTGTACCATAAAGTCTGTCATTGAGTCAACTGGTGTGGTTTCGATTCCCCTGTTGTACGTGACAAGGAGTAGGGTCGCCTGTCCAGCCTCGTGTGTTTTCTCCGGGCCCCCCGGTTTCCTCCCACTGCTAAAGACCCCTACGCGCAAGCGAATTATTGAAATATAATTAAACCATATGTTAGTCCGGAAATGACCTAGTTTGTTTCTAGTGGACGTTAAACCCAATTTCTCTCTCTCTCATACGCCACAGTAATCTCCAGTCAACCGAACTTCATTGTGTGTATACAGCAACTTCTCTAGATCGTGCCGTATTTATTAGACTGGATGGAGCGGAAAGAAGGACGTTGAACCACATTTTATTTCATTTCCCTAGACATTGATTAGAATGCGAGATATGATTCTTGTAGTTGTATTGTACTCTAACACAATATCGCTTTAAACGTGTAATAATGATATATTATATCATAAAATCAATAGAAATAAATCTACATTTTATACACACACACACACACACACACACACCCACACACATATAATATTTTTTTTTATTTTATTTATGCATTTATCTACCGTAAACAAAGAAGTACTTGTACAAGTACTTCTTTGTTTACGGTAGATAAATGCATATATATATTTTAATATGCCTGATGGCAGTACATTACAGTATATTTTTATACATAAATCTACGCATTATGTATCATTATGTTAGGCCTGACTGAAGCACGCTACACTTAGCTTCTTGGGAGTTTAGATTGTACAACGTACACGAATAGTTTTTCCGCACAGATCATTTAAAAACATAAGATGTTCAAGAACAGTAATTTTGCAAAGTGTTAACACAACGTTAACGCCAGGAACGTTAAACATAACTAGTGTTAGTTTTATTAGTTCAATGTCTAAAATGTCGAAAAATATCGTGTGTGAATATATTTAGCGTTTGTTTTGTTATAGTGTATCTTTGTATATATTTTATGATATAATTTTAGTTAATGTAGTAATTGACCAATGTCCGAATTGATATCTCACTAATCTTTCAAGTCTTTTAACTGTTTGTGTTTATACTTAATATAACGACATATATTACGTAATTATAGTTAACACGCGTTCTTGGTATGTCGATATCTTCTTCTGTGTTTAAACATCTGTTTCCTATGTACAATTTAACATCTCTGATCAAATATTATTATATAATTATTTTAATCCTAAGCTTGTACATATGTTCTATATTCTGCAGTATCTTTAGTCTGGTGACCGGCTCACCCTTGCGATACCTATCTCGTTATTGTGACCGTTAGCTAGTTTTGGACACTCGTTTATTAAAAGTACAATTTTAACTATTTATCTGAGTTTTCGTCGTTAGTGTTGGAATAAGCTACGACCCCCAGAAAACAGCACTTCGGAAGTTTAAAACAAATGCGAATGTGAGCGATTGAAAACACAAAGAGCGATTTAAACCTTCACAAGTGTTTGATGCATATCTATGGTCGACAAAATCAACCCGCCAACACGACAAAATAACCCGACGATCGCCGCCTTCATTTCGTCGACTTGTCGGGTCAATTCTTTCACCATCCGACAAGTCGACAAGTCGACAAAATACAATTATTTCGATTTGTCGTGCAGCGACTTGTCGCCTCGGAAGTCAAACTCGAGCTTGCGCATTTGCTGATTGGATAACTTGCATGCGCACAGATTAACTTCCGAGGCGACAGGTCGCCGCACGACAAGTCGAAATAATTGTATTTTGTCGACTTGTCGGGTTGTGAATAAGTCGACGGCGACAAGTCGACAAGTAGACAGAATTGATCCGACAAGTCGACGAAATGAAGGCGACGATCGTCGGGTTATTTTGTCGTGTTGGCGGGTTGATTTTGTTGACTTGTCGCCTTCTTCATAAGCAGTGCCGAACTGGGGTGCCGAAGGTCCACCTGTCAGGTCATTGACCAAGGCCCACACAAGTACTGCGATACTATTTTTATAATATTTTATATATTGTAGTGCTCATTATTTTTCAAAAGCAAGTTAACTCAAAATGTTGTCTACATAATATGACCTTAGCATCTATATCGTCTTATGAATATCTACCGTTATAATCTATTTGTATATGTTTTGTAAGTTCTTTACCTTTCGCACCCTGTAAAATGTGTAAATTTAATATATCCAGTCGTCTAACTTTTCAATGAACATTGTTTATGGAAGCGATTCTACATAAGCAGCAACATACTGATCCGCAGTGAATATTCGCTAGGACGCGACAATCACTGCGACTTAATGACCCACAAATATTAACTTTTTTCCTCAGACAAATTAAATTCTAAAACATTTTTTTTATGTATTAGAAAAATAAATCAAGACGTTTGAAGTATTTGTAGGTAAAAATTATTTCCTGTTTTAGTGTAAATGGGTATTAAAATGAATAAAAGGCGCCATTCTGCTCGGATCAGTAACGTCTTATGTAAACAATGCACGTGCCATTGAGGCAATGATTGAAGCCGCGTGATATGACGTCATGTGTTGACGGCAGTCATCTTTTACAGAGATAGAAGACTTTCGTAATACTCTGTGAAACAGATTGAAGCAGCAATGCCTGTTAATTGTATCCGTATATAGTATGTACATATATCTGACTCATGAAATAAAATATTATTTAAACTAAAATGCGGACCGCTTATGTCGCAATTGGACGAAGTCCTCTGACCGCCCCTGTCCGTCTTTATTAAGCTTCAATATGAAATTAAACAAGATACCGCTGTACTAACTCCCATCATTGTTCTAAGGTTATGTGGCAGTATGAAAGAAGTATAAAGAGTTTTTAATGATTTTCTGTTTAAAATGAACGAAAATAGTTAACAAATTTATACATTTCTTGGCTGATTGAATTATCGTTAGACTGGAAGAAACAATAATAATAATACTTTATTACATATAGCATTAAGTTAAACAACTTATAGCCTTTAAATTATACAATAATACAATCAAAATGAAAAAACGTGTAATTAAAAAGAAAAAGAAAAAACAAAAATAATAATAGTTATTCACAAACAATAAATATACAATAAAATTAACTTTAAAGTTTAGGAAGGTAATGATGTACGTTGAGCAAAAGCGGTTTATCATCGTTTTCTTTCTTAATTTGTACCAACCCCGTAAAAGGGCGGGGTAAATTGCATTGTGTCTTTACTGAAATCGCGGGAGTTTCCGTTTTGAGGGATTAAAAGATACCAGCCATTTCTTTAACCATTCATGTATTCTCTCAATATCTGAATTTAAAACACGCGCGCATTCGGTCGGATCTTCCATTGATATATGAAGTGTCGTATCGACGGCAAAGGTTTTTTTGATTGGTCGATAAAAATAGCAAAAACATCAAGGGCAGATAGTTTGAATACATGTCATCGCCGTGGATGACCCCAGGGGTTATTGGAGTGGAACTGTCAAGTGTTCTTTTACGTACATGGCATGGTGTACTAGCCATTCCGTTTTGAGCACCATCCGAGTGGTCAGTGCACTCAAAGACCTTTTCAAGGATGGTGTCTGCAATAATGTAAAGGATAATTTTTGGCGAAAAACCGAGTGGATCTGAATATACATTGGTGTGAACGTCCGGGGAAAATTTCCATACCCGTACACACAACATATAAAGTAAAAATTATCAGATGTTTGTCTCAAAAATATCCAAATTGTTCTGTTGATGAGACATTAAACCCACTCTATTACTACCATTCGGTATTTCTGGTTAATTAGATTCATGACAGTGCATTTATTTCTTGAACCTGCCAAAAGAGACCAGAGCTGGGCCTTCAAGCAGGCCCAGGATCATGATTGCGATTCGCCACTATATAAAGATACAGTTGTTTGATGATGCTAAAATAAAACACTGTAAACCAAGTGAAAATTATCTTTTTATTTTTATTAAAATACAACAAGAAAGTTTGTAAATAAGACATTAAAACATTTTAACCATTGCCCTTTCATTGGTATTTACGTTGTCATTATATATTTTAAATTTCTCAGATCGTCAACCATAAACCCAATTAAATTTATATAGAATTCTCCGCCCGTTACCCCATTTTTTCATTATATAAAGAATTACTAATCTAAACATATATATTTAAAAATAACAGAATGGTTTTTATTGTTTGTTTATTTTACAAACGCATAATGTGGCCAAACGGTGTTTAAAAATAAAGTGCTGATTATTTCTAATAAATGTTTAAGCGCTTTACTACTTGAAGTTTAAATACTATTCAGCTCTAGTTAACATTGGAGATATTAGTAATTACTTTATTGTCAGTTCGATGTGTCCCCCTCCCTCGCCTTCTCCTTCAGAGTTACAAGGCAACATGTAAATTAACATATTTAATAAACTAAATTACATATGTTATATGATTATCATCAGCAAATGCTGGTCAGTAAGTGTATAATAATAGTCATTAGTAAAATAATGTTAAAAAGCTAAAACACAAAAGTGTAAAAATTGAGCTATCCCTACAGCTCCAAAACCATTTATATTAATAAGATAAAATATGGCAGAATATTTTTAAAAAGTAAAATAAACAAAATTTTGGTCTGTTATTAAGGCGTGTTTGAGCGTGGCCCCTAATGATGCTTCCATGCGGTAACTGTAGCTGTAAGGCGGCTTTTGTCAGTTTCAAATTCAATTTCATCACATCTGACAAGTTGGAGCCTGAAAACCAAATATCAAAAAATTAATATTTACTGGCTTAAAATAACCAAGATTTAAAGTCTTGTTCTGTACAGTTAGCTTGATTAGTGAATCGGTAGGAAAAGAAGCTTCATGTCGATTGATCAGGAAAAAGGATGAATGGCCCAAAAAGTTGTGGATATGTTTTATCGGTATTTTTTCGTTAATGTCCGGTAGTTTTAGAATTTCCCGTTTTCATTAGCACTGTTGGTGAAGAAAAGTAGGACGGTAAACCCTTTTTCATATCATTTTATAAAACAGTAGCAAACTTACTTATCAGAAAGAATTGGACTAAGTTCCTTGGGTGTCCATCTGTTATCAATAGAAGCAATGACAGCGAGTCCAGTTGGTTTGGTAATCTCCCATAGTCTCAATAACCAGGCTGTATAAAGATAAACACTCTTATTACACAATCAGTATTAGGTCAACGATGTAAGAGGTAACATGCACGTTTCTAGCATGTGCACCAGTCGTCATAATTTGGAATGCAAAAGTAGATTAAAATTTTATGAAATTAATGTTAAAACATCAAGACATTCGAATTTAACAATGCATATTTAACTGTATACGCCATCATTAATTATTGTAATGCATGTTTGTAATTTAAACAACCTGACAAGATGCACAGCGGGACAATGCGAAACTGTGGTTACTATATCAAGGCACCTCTATGTGCACCATAACAAAAGTAGACATATGCATCAGTTGAAGTGACAGTTAATGTGAATATTAAACAAGTTTCTATTACGCTCCGAACTCACTATTGAAATTTGATCCGTCTGTTCGTTCTTCCGTTTGCCCGTTGTTGGTTTTCAGAGATATCTCAGAAAGCTTCCAGGTTATCTTTATCAAACTTTGTGTTTTACACAATAGCCTATTATAGGATTTGTGTCCTTTGTTAATTAGACATTTCTCACATTTATTAATTTTTGTGTTGCTATGGATGCAATTTTTACTTAGGTTTTGTATACAACGACTTGGGATGTCGATAACCGAGACTGAGATGTCCTCTGGGGAGTGCTTTATTTTCATTTGTAAGTTAGGCTGCTTCAGTTTGTAGAAGACCGTACGTTATTATTTCCTGAAATCATACGGACAGCAGCAGCTCCGTTGATTTTACTGATATATGTATATACAAAAGGCCTATGTAGACATATTTACCTTGAGGGTTTTGAACTCTATGTAGATGAGTCATTAACACCAAGTCATTTGGATTAATTTCGTTTGGTATCCATGTCAACTAATAAAACGGATAAAGATAAAAATACAAAACATGCTATACCAGAAACGTGGCGGGAAACAAACACCACGTTTTACAAAACAATAAACTGCGTATATCCAAGACAGAATCAACGTAGAGAAATGCTGAAATCGACAGCCCTTTTATGAAAAGAAAATGAAATGAAATGGGATGCAACGTCCCACGTTTCTGCGCTAATGAAGACGGGCATATATATGCCATGCCTGTGCCATGAGCGAAATTTTGCCCGGACAGCTTCTCTATTCTCATTTCGAATTCTAAATGACACGGCACCTCGGGTTTTCGCTTGCCAGGCCCTCCGTCCTACACCACGGATACGAAGGAACCAGACCAGGAAATAACAATAAACACGGGACCTCCGGGTTAGCGAGTCAATGTTTTACTCACTGAGCCACCGTGGCCCCCGCACCTTTTATGCCTTAACTTTGCAGCTACCCATGATCTACACATAGGCGTACGGGGACATTTTTGACGGGGGGGGGGGGCGGTGGTGCTTGGTGCCCAAAAAATCTAGTTAGGTTCTTAGTATGTTACATAATAATAATAAATTCGCTGTTAAATTGGACACATTCAAGAACACAATATTTTTTTATACAACTTTTACAAAGTACAATTGTGTGCCCGAATTTTCACAGCATTTGGTGCCCAAAATGGGGGGGGGAAGCCGCCCCCCCCCCCAGCCCCCCAGCTCGTACGCCTATGGATCTACATCTCGCTAATCTATAAGGTCTCGTAAACACGCATCCTTGTAGTGTTCATAACAGCTTCCATATTTGAACATTTACATTTCTACAACTACGACAAGTGCAAAACATAACATTATCAATGTAAACTCCGCAAGTGAGAAGTGATTGGTATCAAACGCTCACAAAATATACTATTCAAAAAAAGTAGGGGATATTTGATTTTGGGGGCATAATACTAAAATATGCAAATGACTACGAAAAAAGTCACTATAGAACCTAACAGAAGAAACATTTCCAGTTACATGTGACGCCCAAACGCACCAATAGCTACCGCATGGAATGCAGGTGATGCTTGGGATCATCATGGGGGTCCAACCCAAGATTTGCACGACTCTGACTTTGAATGTTACAGTCATTGTGGCATTGAATTCCAGGGTGGAAACATCAGTTTAATTGTTTTAGTGACCAGAAAACAAATTTTGATATGCGTCGGCTTACCCAAAATGAAAGGTTACGTGCCCTTGGCATGCTACAGATCGGCACAACACAGGCGGTTGTGGCGCGGACGATGAATGTTTCTCAGTCTGTCATAAGCAGGCTATGGTCCAGATACCGTGATACACAATCTGTACAGGACAGACCACGCTCAGGTCGACCAAGGGCGACAACTCAAGCCCAGGATCGATTTATCCGTATCTTGGCCTTGAGAAATCGTGTCATCACAGCAAATCAGATCAGCGCCCGTCTTCAAACAGACACTGGTGTGAGAGTGAGTGGCCAGACGATTCGGAATCGACTGCATAGGGGTCACCTTCGCGCCCGACGTCCTCGCGTGATCCCTTGTTTGAGAGATCATCACATTCAGGCAAGACGTCGTTGGTGTAGGGATCGTCAACACTGGGATAATCGACGCTGGAGCAATGTGATGTTTTCAGATGAGTCAAGGTTCACTGTTGATTTTTTGGACAGACGTAGGAGGGTGTGGCGTCGTCGAAACGAGCGCTTCCAAGACGTTAACGTCATCAGACATGATCGATTTGGGGGGGGGGGGTTCTGTTATGGTGTGGGGAGGCATCACTGTTGCTGGAAGAACGGCTTTACATGTTGTTGCAAGCCGTGTTACAGGCCAGTACTACCGGGACAACATCTTGGCAGTCCATGTTGTGCCGTTCGCACGACGTCATGGCCGCCGTTTCATCTTCCAGGATGACAACGCAAGATGTCACAGGGCCAGGATCGTTACAGGTTACCTCCAACAACAGAACATCACCACATTACCTTGGCCAGCACTGAGTCTCGACCTCTCCCCCATCGAGCATGTCTGGGACATGCTTGGACAGAGGTTACGTCGACGTCAACAACGTCCTGCCAATGTCCAAGAACTTGCTGCTGCGTTGCAACAGGAATGGGACAATCTGGACCAAAATGACCTTAGACGTCTCATTAGGAGTATGCCACGTCGGATCAATGCTTGTTTCGCAAACAGAGGAGGATTTACCCGTTACTGACTTGGTTGTGATGCTGCGGTAACTTTGCTGTTTGACCCCGGGTATCATTTTACCCTTATAATGGTCAGTCTGTGCCTTACTTAGTGTAACGATCATTTGGAATAAATCGATGAATGTGAACTTCATTTCATTTTGTCATTTGTTTCTTCGTCAGTTTCATTAGGTGACTTTAATAACACTTAAAAATCAAATATCCCCTACTTTTTTTGAATAGTATAGTATGCATGTTCTGCCTTGTATCCCATGGTAATTAATAATGAATAGATATACAGATTAAGTTATTTACCTGCTTGAAGACAATATTTTTGGTTTTAACATCAGAATCTAGGGTAAATGTCTGGTTCTGATTGTAAGTATCAGGCACTGAAAGACTTTGGTTAGTTTGTAGTTTGATTGATGCGTCAACAAACCGGGCACATATTTCGACACCTAAAACCTGGAACAATCAAACAAATTATAAATACACGTACGCCTATACGTGATAAGGAAAATTATTTGAGGATTGGGATCCTTGGTCTTTTTTTGTAAATTCTGCCGAACCGCAATAATTGTTGACTGGTCTTATTCTGGAAGCACACTAACACTCGAAGTACGGGCACCACAATAATAATTGCAGAATGGTTACGAGCAGTATAAAATGATTACTGTTATACATTAAAAAGCAATAATTGCTGGCTGCTTGCATTGCCCATGTCGCTTCTAGTCCAATGAAACATTGGATTGTCTAGAACCCAAGTTGGTTCTCAAACAATATTAAGTGAAAACCAAGACTGCGTGTTATTCGGGGAAGATAATTCAAATACGTCACGTTACCATACTAAGATTAGCAATGGTTATTTAGCTTATATACTAATCGTTATTATTGCTTTGGGAAAAACTAATGACACTGCGAAATCACAAGGGTTCTTCTATATAGCCACGCGATTAGTTCTAGATGTTCCTAGAAATACTGAACCATAATACTTACAGTGTCGTAATTTCTACTCAGTAGAAAAGCCAATTGTCCGGCACCAGAACCAAACACAGCACAGGTGCCAGGAACAATGTCAAATAATTTGGTCAACATAGAAGTGTACTCTGCTAGAACTCTAGGCATACTTTCCCGAAATCCAAATTCTAATTGAAGTATCCCAAATAATGAGACATCAGATTCGTAGACATAGTGGTAATTGGTAGAAGGCACCGCCACTAATTCTACTTCGGTTGTATCAAAATTGATATTACTCTCTGAAAAATACATTTTTGTAAAATTGCTTTTAGGTAAGAATTTAAGATGAAAGGGCTACAGTTGAGATTTGTGGCTAAGAATTTTAAACAAATCTCCAATAAAAATATGCATAAGAAGGGTCGTAACAATTAAATTTTGCTACATTAGTCGCTTAGGTTAATCTCATTGTCCGCCTTCATTAGCCAGTCGGAGCAGAATAGTACGACGTTAAACCCCATTGAATAATGTTGTAAAACATGCCTAGAAATTAACAATATTAAATTAACTTGAAAACGTGACCCGTATGTGTTACGAAACGTCGTTATTAAATAATAGAAAAGTAGTTATATCCATATATACATTGTGTTGTGTTTTGTTATGGATACAAAATTTGTCACTTGGGGAACAGGGTTGCATACATGAGTTACTTCCCTTAAGCCCTTTATAACTTTCCAATACATGCACCACATTATTAAGAGACCTTTTACGTGCACGCCAATATGTACACGGGACCTCGGTTTTTCGTCTTGCCCGAACAACTAATCGTTGTTCCTTGCCAGACACTCGATTCTGCACCACTTACAACGAGAACCACGTCGGAAGATCTGATAAACTTTGCCAACTTTCTCTGCCAACATCGGGATTGAACACGGAGCCCCCGGGTTAGCGAGCCAACTTCTTACTCCCTAATTGATAACAAATCCGCTTCTAACGGTAATAATTATGACGGTATACAATGGTTAATCTAATTGTCAGCATACAAATATCCCCCACAAAACATGGCCGACAACGGAGTTGGTTAGTTGAAACATGGACATTTAAATGTATTATAAGGTCCATAGTTGAAACACATCTGTTGATTACTAAGAGATAAAGTATGGCAATGGCATAATACTTACTAGTTTCACCAAGACCCAGTACAAACGTATCATTGGATATAACTCGGATTGGTAGGTTAGCCTGTTCAGAGTTGTGTGTATTTCTTACCACACGGAAACCAAGATGTTGAATAAAATGTGGACGGAAAGCGTAGCGAGCAAATCGTGAAGCCAGATCTCCTGTAGATATCCAGGAACCACCCTAAAATTAAAAATTTAATACCATATTTTCAAAACGCATAACTAGCTGAATTTTATTCTGAATAACGCAAGGACCGCACTTCAGACAAATATTCATTAGTTTTAGACCTTAAAGTATGAATTGTCGTGGTATCCAACCAACACTTGGAAAGTGCCTACTCCTTGGTTTTCTACTACTGCTAACGACCCTATCGCCGGATTAAGGCGGAATGGGGCCCTAACGCACTTAAATAAATAGGTTTAGTTTATATTGACCAGTATCATATAGTGTTTCCTATCAAAACTGATCACACCCACGACACGTACCAGTATCATAATATAGCGTTTCCCATCAAAACAAGTAAATGATCACACACAGATATTCAGATACTTACCAGTATCATACAGTATTTCCCTTTACTAAACAAGTAAATGGTCACAAACACGGACATCTACCAGTATCATATGGTGTTTAGCCCACAAACAAGTACATGATCACACTTACGATACTTACCAGTATCATATAGTGTTTCCCATCCAAACAAGTAAATGATCACAAACACAGACATCTACCAGTATCATATGGTGTTTAGCCCACAAACAAGTACATGATTATATTCACAACACTTACCAGTATCATATAGTGTTTCCCATCCAAACAAGTAAATGAGCACAAACACGGACATCTACCAGTATCATATGGTGTTTACCACAAACAAGTACATGATCACATTCACAACACTTACCAGTAGCATATAGTGTTTCCCATCCAAAACGTAAATGATCACAAACACAGACATCTACTAGTATCATATGGTGTTTACCACACAATCAAGTACATTGTCACACTTACCAGTATCATATAGTGTTTGCCGTCAAAACAGGGTGACGAGAAATCGTCATATAGGTGGTGTGTATGGAATCCATTAAATCCATTAAAATGGTCTTCATGCCATTCCCATGCATTACCATAAACATCACAGAAACCGACATCATTGGCAGGATAGAGATTTACAGGGGTAGATGATCCATACTGCATGTTCAGATTAGCTGGTATTGTATCTTGATAAATTATATCACATGATGTACTCTCAGTTTCTGTTTTCTGTAAAGGAAAACGACAGTTACCATAAGAATGGAAACTTGTAATGGAAACTGACAGTTACCTCAAAAATGGAAGCTTGGCCTACAATGATACATAACTAGTAATGTTATGGTGTACTTATATAAACATACCTCAGAACCTCGCATCACATGACGTTCAGCTTCAGCGGGTAGTCTAAATTCCGGACCTTTCCAAGCACAGTATGCCTTAGCTTCATGATATGTTACTTCAACAGGCCAATCCATGGGTAGATCTAATTCATCAAACATAGCACGATACCTAAATAAACCGAACACCTCTACAATTACAATATCATTTCTCAGTCAATAGACCAGTACACCCACCCACCAGGTTTGATTACCAAACCTATGTGAGTAAAATCGATAACAGTAACAATTCCACTTACATACGTTGAACTATTTCATACAATCGTCCTTGTTTTTTTCGTTGAGTTCGGAATAACCTCTGCTGTTGCTTCGCCCAGAATTTTTCTTGCGGTTTTGTTTTTTCAAAAATAGACAGTATATCATTTGAGACTGTTAATACTTATACCTACCAATAGCCGGACACGCCTTGTTTATTTTTGTTGTGAAAGTCGTTGTTATTATTAGAAGGTTGGCAGTGAGAATAATCAGTGAGACTGGCACCACAGTTACCTTTACATCCTTAAAATAACAAACCATCTTCAGTTGAAATAGATGAAAAGAATTACCGAAAGAAACAGATACTATTTACAAGAAAGGGTACCCCAATTGGCCGTAATTTATTTGAAAGTTTACAATGGATAGCATACTAATTAAATAAACTGCTATTCTTATTGTTGAATAAATTGAAATATACAAAAATAAAACCCCAATCATACCCTTATTGCAGACCCAAAATGATGGATGTTTAGCTTGTTTAAATTCTTTCCATTGCCAACCATCTTCTGTCCAAAGTTCACGTTTGTTATAACCACCATCTTTTACAAATTCTAAGAACCACCTATTGGTGATAGGATATTTAGTTGACTCAAAGCGAGGCACACTGTAAGTATAAGTGAAACCTTTGGGCTTAGTCTCCCAAAAACAAACGATACTTTAGATAAATTGGGTATAGTGAAAAATATATAAGCCAATCAATGAAGAACGTCTCTCTTTCAAATTCAAAGAAAACATTTTTTGTTCTTGGCGTCAGAAAGTACCCCTCAATAACCTTTACATTATGTTAATGTTTTTAGACATGGGCTTCATGGGATTAGCTATATAACCCTTGATTGTAAAGGAATTTTGGTTTTGTTTAGCTTTAACAGTAATTAAAGCGGAGGCATTTGCATACACAGTGGTAATATCGAGCGAGTCACCGATTATATCTACAGAAAGTAAGTATGATTTCCCACTTACTCATTGTGATACGTTCGTATGTGACATTCTCCATTCTCTAATGTCTATTTTATTGACGAACCATAATAATGATTCTTATGAACAATATTCAAATCTTCCATACTTTTCATTCAGAACGGCTATTAATGTTTTTGAAATAACTGATCGCACACTGCACAACTTATATAATCTGACTATATTTTGTCGAACAATACAATTTTAACAGCACAAAGTGTGGTATAATAATAGATAATTAAAATAAACATACTGACAATCGAACAATCCATATTCATTATCCCAGCCATAGGATGGGAAGTTTTCTGGTTTACCCAAAGTAACATCCGTGGCTTCCATTTGTATGATAGGGTTCTCCTTTACACCTTGATCTGAATATAATACACATTTTGTTATAAACACATTCTTATGGAAGAACAATTACTGATTTATTTGGGCGACGTTTCGAAGAGTATTCTCTCAACGTTTTCAAGTATACTCTTGGAAGCGTCGCCAAAGTAAACCAGTGATTGTTCTTATAGTTTATTTCTCTATCCAGTTACTAAATGCCGCTAAAGCATTATTGTTGTTGATTCTCCCAGAGACAGATACGCAGTATATTCAGTAAAATATATTGTACATCACAGTGAAATTGTTTGTGAAAATAACTTTTGTAGCACATTTAATCAATAATTGTTTTAATAGTATTCAAAATAGAAAATGAAGATGGCGATTCTAAACTGCTGTTTGTGCATTCAGATCGAAATTGTTATCTTAATATTTTATGGTTTGCATGACGCCCAGCAGTGAGATTAGTGAAATAAACATCTTTTCCCATATTTTGCAATCGATTTTAATTGTTATTTATTTACTATACAAACCATGTTTCATGGGTCCGTAAATCCATCCATCAGGTTTGGTTACCATGTCAACAGGCAGTTGACGAATCAGAACTGACGAAGTTTCCAAATGAATACGATCATGTTCAAATCCCATCACCATTGCCCACTGAAAGGGAAATAACTAATAGTGAATAAAATTTTAATTAAAACGGATATTTGTTCCTTAGGGTAAAAGTGGAATACAGAAACTGGGGTTTTCCTTGGCGCATCACAAAGGCCACAAAAAAAGTTTCCAATAAAAGAATATTTAGACGACAGGGTACCCATGGCCAAGAGTCTTTTCGGTAATACAAATAGAACCAGGAACAACAAGACTACATAGATATTGTATTGATGTAGTTATGTATATTATGTATCAATATTGCAATGTGTAACAAAATACTAAGCATTCATACATTTTTCGGTAATAAACTCGCCAGAAAGTACCTTATGAAAGAGAAAGAGGACACACATTGTTACTGATACGATTACAGGAATGTGGTACTGAACGACTGTACAGGATGCCTGGTTAAACAAACATGAGGGTGATCTTCAATAGATATGTACTTACGGACTGTCCATAGTAATTGGTAATTGTAATTGAGTATCTTGTTACTCACCCAAGGACTGTCCATAGTAATTGGTAATTGTAATGGAGTTTCTTGTATAATGTTCTTTATAATATTTCGAACTTGTTGACGATATTCTACAACAGTCTGGATAGACGGCCATTTATAACTTCCCCCCATACGATAATTTTCCTGTAATGGTAAGGAATCGACTGGAAAAACAGTTATTAACAGAAATACCAACATTTGATTTAAATTTATAAATTTTAGCGTTAGGGAGAGGCGGCCAGAAAAGAAAATGAAATGAAATGTGGTTTAACGTCCTACTGTTCTGCAGGCCAGACACGAGGTTTAGTAAACAAAGATTAAATTTCCGGTACCAAGGTTGTTTTATATTAATCAGTATACCCATTGGTGCTAATCTTAGTTCGAAAAACACTAATCATGTCCTTTTAGTATATCAATATTTCCATCATAGCATGACAAAAACTTGTCAGAGAAGAACTGTCTGGATTGGCCGTGGTCACCTCTGCCTTTCTGTTATCAACCAAGTATTTAATCAAAGCTATTAAAATAACCCGTGGTCAAATCTTATTATCAGGCGAAACCGTTTCAAAGTTACGTGTGAAAAATAAACCATTTCTCGACAGTGGAACAAACTATTTTTGTAAAAATATTTATATGATGGTTTTGATTGAAATAGATAATGTAAATGTTAAACAAATAACGTGCAACGCTCATATTATGAATAAAATATTTGTTTGAAAGGCCAAAGATTCAGTCTTACCAATATAGAGTCACCCGGTTGACAACGAAAATGTTTCAGATTACGACATGTAGCGTAAGTTATCAAATGATACATTGCATATGAACGTATAATAATAATAATTTAAATAGTTTAAGATCAAAACCATATGAAAGGTGACTGATACAAATTGACTATTCTTGGCAATGGTTGAAGATTGTAAGTACTTACAGTATCATCCCAAGACATCTCATCTACTCCTGTCTCAAACATCGTCTCAAACTCTATATTAACTCTTTCCTTAAAAAAAAATAATCAGAAGAACCATTGTAATTTTGATTTCTGAAGAGAATATAATAAACACGATGATGATGTTGATGATGATGCTGACGATGTTGACGATGATAATGACGATATGGTTTAAAGTTTTGTTGCTGCTGTTATTGAATAACATGGTAAGTTTCAGCATTGGCTGTGTTGGTACCACTTATGACCAAGATTTTGGTAATGATCTAAATGATGAGGCCTATGATGATGATGGTGATGATGATGTTGATAATAGTGATTGGCGAATTAAGATGATGTTTAGAGCTGGATAATAAATAACCAGTGCACGTAAAAAGAACCATTCGATATAAGAGAAGACCGTAGCGAAGCTGTCCGGCCAAATTTCCCCCATAGCACAATGGATGGCGTATTGCCATCTTCAATTCGTAATCAAATAGTGGCTATATATTTTAAGAACTAATAGTATTCATTATCAACAGAGTAGTTGGATTATGAATAATTATGATATTAATTCATACCTTTAAAAGTCTTGCCAACATCAGTTTATTGACATAGACAACGGCTGTATGAGCAAAATAGAATATAAGAGGCAATCGAAGTCTATCTGGACACATATAGAAGACATTATCATCTGAAAACAAAGGTACTTAATAAATAAGTTTAGATATACCATTTATATTATGTTAATGAAGGTTTCCGTTCATTATTCTCTTTCTTTCTATAAAACAGCAATTGAGCCGAACCACGATCATTCAGAAATATTTATCACCTTGAGTAATACGGCGTATGCTAACAAGGCAGATAAGCATGGTACATACAAGCAACTGACATTTGGAAAGGATAGAAACGGGACTAATAGTTATTTTCGACACAAAAAATAAACAAATTAGGACCAGTTACTAAAATCTGGAGATGTCATACGAACGATCGGGTACAGTCACGCCAACAAAACATTCTTTAATACAGGTGGCACTTGAACGTGGACACCTGGTAATTTTCTGAAAGTTGATTCGACTATCATTATAAAATTATCTATCATTTGTTGGCATATAAAAACAGGTGGACCGTGTTCTGTAACACATGATTACGTATTGAACGTGGAAACCTGGAAATTTTCGGAAAGTTGATTCGACTATCATAATAAAATTATCTATCATTTGTTGGCATATAGAAACATGTGGACCTTCTTCTATAACGCATGATTACGTATTAATATTTTTTGTTGGATTTTAAATCTTGAAGATAATGAAAATTAAAATTACCATTCAATGACGTGAACAGGGTTTCATATAAGTCGTAGGAATTCTCAAAATAATCTAAAATATCCCTGAAATAAAATTGAAGACATAATACATATTTCATATTTTCAAGTTATTGTAATATATGGTGTATTATTAAAATGATAATCCATCGACAGGCTTTGCAAAGTTCTTAGTGATTGAAGCTTGATGAACTTTAACACTTGGAGGTCACTTATAAAGTTATCTGAACACTAAATTCCTTATCTAATTAATTATATTCGTCAAAACAATTTAAAATGCAGATTAATACGACCATGAAGTGCTCGTTGAGGGGTATGATCAATCTTTGTAGCACTAGCACCCCTGATTCTGATTCTCATGTGTATTTCCAATTGTTTCCGAACCACCCTTGTGACCTCTAGAGGGACCACAAGCTAAAAACGTGATTTTTTGTACAATCAGGGGCCATAATTCAGGAAGTAACAATCCGATATACGCGAATATTGACAGAAAACAAGATATTTGGGTTATAAACATGCATATCAAGTTTCATCAAAATCGGATCAAAATTGTGACCTCTATAGTGTCCACAAGCTAAAAACTTGATTTTTCGTACACTCAGGGGGCATAATCCATGAAGTTATGGTCGGATACATGCGAATAGCGAAAGGAACCGAGATCTTTTGGAGATAGACCTATATTTCAAGTTTCGTCAAAATCGGATAAAAATTGTGACTTGTAGAGTGTCCACAAACAAATTGTGGACGGACAGACGTCCGGATGGACCGGGGCGACGTCAATATACATGTACGTCCACATGAAAATGTGGGCGTATAAAAAGAGAAGAAATAAAAACAAGGACTAAATATAGCCGGTCAATATCGCACTGAACCTAAGTAAATCAAGTCTTTAATCAGGAGCATGACTGTGCTCTTTTTGATTACCAGGATGACATTGCAAAATGTTTCATGACCCTGAATCTCATGGCAACGCAAGAAAATAATCGACGCAGCTATTTTTCAATTGTACAATTATAATAAGAATCACTATAATAGCCACCCACCACCTCCTTGACTTTCTTAACGTCGTATTACATTGCAATAAATTGTATTTCTTAGATTTCACTTCGACGAAACCCCTACCCTTATCTGCAGATAGTGGAAAGATGCTGCGACGCCCCCGAGCATCGATTGTTATCACTGTTAACAAGCTGGTGTAAAGGCATCATGACGTTTTAACATTGCTGAGTTATATCTAATTTGATGTCTTTCTCACAATTCATAGTAACGGGACGTACCGTGAGTCCTGGGAGCCTGCAGCCAAGGAGTTGACCCCCGACATCACCAAACCGCTCCACTCGGGACAAATATAGAAGAAAAAGGTTCTAACGAACGCTGTTCCCTCTACACCCATTTTTCAGTTATGCGCACATGGGCCATGGCATTCATACCACATCACTTTTTATTTGTCGAGTACAGTTCTATTAGGCCTGTGAGATATCTAATTTGATGTCTTTCTCACAATTCATAGTAACGGGACGTACCGTGAGTCCTGGGAGCCTGCAGCCAAGGAGCTGACCCCCGACATCACCAAACCGCTCCACTCGGGACATAAATAGAAGAAAAAGATTCTAACGATCGCTGTTCCCTCTACACCCATTTTTCAGTTTTGCGCACATGGGCCATGGCATTCATACCACATCACTTTTTATTTGTCGAGTACAGTTCTATTAGGCCTGTGAGATACGATGTGCCAAGAATTTCAAGTTTACATTTGTACAAAACCTTGCGAACATGCTCTTGTCACCGTTCGAGGCTGCGACCGATAGCCAAAAGTGTACTTAATAATATCGATAGCATTTGAACTTCTAAACATAGTTAGTTATACCGTGGTCTATCTATATATGATATAACTGGAAGGGAACGAACAGATTTAAACTTTCTTTAAACTTATTCTTATCAATAAACAACCATTACAGCGGTAGGCTACTAGAGTACAAACAATGTTGGCCGAGATAATTACCTGGGGATTTTCCAGAGTGGCTTTACTGTCTTGTCATTCGGGTGGAACGAAAAACCAAGCCCCCATCTACACACCAGAACCTTGGCTGTTGGAATTCGAAATAAGAGTAAATCCTAGCGCCGCTGTCCGGGCAAAATTTTACTCGAACACTGTATGCCGTATGCCCGTCTTCATTAACCCGATTGGTACAGGAAAATACTAACATGCTAGAATGCACAATGGTTCTATAAAAATCTAAATCTCTGTCAATGGAGAATTTGTGTTATATTGATGATATATAACTGCCAGAAAGTCAAGAAATGGAATTTGTAATTGGCGAACTCGACCTTGTCAGTGGGGTGATTTCTGTGTTCTGATCGAACCCCTGAAATGATCGACACACCAATCAAACAGACTGAAAGAACCCAAATAAAATGTCACTTATTGGACAATGGCATGAATATCTGCACGATGACGATATTCAGCCTTGAAAAAAATATAATGTCGGCTCTTATAATAGGCGAATAGTCTTAAAACATTATTTAAACTTACTGTTTTGTACATGTGGACAGGTCCAAAGGTTTTAGTGACGTGAGCACAGGTTTCCCTGTTAGTATGTGGGTCTTCATTATTTATCGCTCTTAGCTGCTGGTTAGAACACTAATAATCTGTAAAAAGAGAAAAATGAGAAGCTAGTTACATCACAAATACCGACGAAGATTTTATATAAACCGGATAAAAATACGAGGACAATGTCGATTTCTAGTTTAACTTTGTTTTAGTACTTTTCCTCAATAGGCTACAATATAAAACTGCCAGGGAAACGAAAATGAACCAGCTTTCGGAATAAAACGGAAAGGTTTGACTCTTAACGTCACGATGGCGGCTCTAATTATATGCCGCGTACAACAGTGTGCGGGCGTTAAATAAAGCTATTTCACCCACAGAGAGTAGAGAACCTTTATGGGACGCGTATCGGTAATACATCATAATTTTGAATATAGACGTTAAAAACACCGCTTGATTAACTTTACTGACAATATTTTCAGTTTTGTTACCACACAGAACCAGATGTTTAATTAATGCTTTATAATTTTTTTTCAGATATTGTATGCATTAAAAAAGAAGTTACGCTTGCCACCTGAAACTAAATGCACCCAATCGTAGCTAAAACAAACATATCAGTATATCTGGACGTTTCAAAGGCGGATCCAGGAATTTTTGCAGGAGGGGGTTTTCCCGGTTCCTGGTATGGAAATTTGACAGTTGACAATGCATGGTGCCATCATCGTCTCCAAATTACGTAAACATGCATACACACTGAGCTTTTAAAGTTACAATTTCATATTTTTAAGTTATATTTTTAAAATGTATTAAAATAAAGCCCTAAAATAGATGGTATCTATAAACAGTCCTACCTTGTTAAAGAATAATCCTATTAATCCTATAATTCACTATTGCCAGTTGAGAATTCAAACGTTTGAAGATAGCTATTCCATGATGGGGGAATAGAAAACAGGGGAGGTAATTCGGAGGTAATTGTGTTATTATTTCCGGTGTGAAGATTTTAAAGTGTGAGAAAGATCGTATAATAGTGAGTTGACAACCTATTGAGCAAAAGACATAAAAATAATTATGTTTTGACTTTCTTAGAAAATATGAAATTGAAACTTTAAATGGAGAAATCCAACGTCAATTTTTATTATGAATTAATATGATCACATTGTGATTCAATTTCATTGATATCACAAGTGTATATTTCGCGCTTTGAATGCCCACCCGTCCCACCATCTGATGATAAAAGAAAAAGCACACGACCGTGACACTTTTCTCATCGGGTATGTTACTGCCAATACATCCAGACATTGCTTGAATAAAAACAGCTCATTCCAGTAAGCCCCTATGCAGATGAAATGGTATATTAATGCTAAACTATTATTTCATACAGGGAAACAATGATTAGTACAGCCTATCTCGTCAATAGAAATACAATATGCTGCGAGAAACCAACGGTTGGGTATACACAAATGAAAATGTATATTTTTGATACCATAGTGGAAGCGTCTATTGGCCCTTTTCAAGGTAAACGTAAACATGGGCAAGTTTATTTTATTGACAGAAGAAAATCCAAAGCCTTTTTTGTACAGTTCCACTTTGCCCATCCACCAAGCCCACCCCCAATACCCAATCTGCAAGAATTATCTATACTAATATTTCTGACTGTCGTTTGTCTGGCTACACTTGGATGTTCCGAGGCTGAAATTTTATGGATAGGTGTAACTCGGACAGGGGAGTAACATGGGTTAGGTGGCGTTGGACTACCGCTTCCGGTTTCGGAGTCATATTACACTCAACCCGCTAGTGGTTAATATTAATATTTCGAATCATATGACAATATATAATTGATTTGACCCCGATCTTACTTACCGTGATGTGATTTGTAATCCGAAGTATAGGGGTGAGCATTTTATATATATAAGTAATGGGTTGAGGAGAGGTGTGGGAGGGGGGGTAGTGGTGAGCGCGTGTGCGTAAAATCACAAGGTCTGTCTTGTACGTGATACGGAGTAGGATTGCCTGTCTAACCTCGTGGGTTTTCTCCGGGTCCCCGGTTCCTCCCACTGCTAAAGAACGCCAGCTGCGCGCAAGAGAATTATTGAAATAAAATATCTGATAAACTGTGCCCTCAGTTACTTCGGCATGTTGCCTTAACGAAGCCTACATTATTTATTTTGTACGGACGTTTATTGACCAATAAGATGATAGTCGGCTAAGTTTCACAGATCTTTTATCCATGCAGTCATTAAATAAATACGATACGATACCAAGTATTGAAGATCTCTGTGTTATTTTCTTCACCTGTTTATGGTTTCCTTGAAAGTATAGTTTAAATGGTCAAAGCTTTATCTACGTAGGCTAGTTCATTTTTTTATAATTCGTTGCAATTCGCAGAGGCGTAGCCGTAAAATATATATTGGGGGGGGGGGGTCCGCAAAAGAAATTATTATATAAAATGTTGACAATCTGTGATGCCGGAGGCACGAGGCTGCGCAGCAAATAGGGAGAGTGTGGGAGGGTTTGCGGGGGGTGGGGGCACCCCCATAAATTTGTTTTTAAAGTTTCAGTCTTCTGTAAACATTGTTTTGCCATATTTTACGGGGTTAAACTAAAACATCGCACCAATACAATGTTTATCATGTTTAAGTCAGGGGGTGCCGTATTCATATGTTTGCATGACTTTTACATATTGAATGTTACGCTTGAGTTATGAACAACACGACAAAGAGAGTTTAGTAGGGGAATTTTTATGAGGAGGATCCAAATGAAACAAAACTTGGTCACATAACTTTAGTTTATGAGGATGCATATTTGACAGTCCCCTTGTTAACTACAATACTATATACATATACACATTGACATTTACAAGAAAGTTGTATTTTGTACATTTTGTATATTATAAATGGATTTCAAAAAGTAAACATAAGTGTTTGTGTTTTAATTTGTATATTGTTTTATACAGATAGAATCTTAACTAATCCTAATATTTGTTGTAAAAAAAATAGGAGTTAGGGCCTACTATGTAATTTTTTTTTTTTTTGGGGGGGGGGGGGGCAAGTATATTCAGGTTTCTTACAAGCATATTCCCGTGTTCGATCCCGGCGTTGGCCGAGAATGTTCATCGGAATTATCCGACGTGGACCACCCCTTGTCAGTGCCTGGCAAGGAACAACGTATACTCTTTCGGATAAGACGAAGAGCCGGTGTCCCGTGTACACATCGGCGTGCACGTACAAGAACTCTTAGTAGTATCCAGTCTATATCTATTTAAGGCCAGCTCAATTTTTGTCAAGGTCGTTGAGATGTAAATAAGTTTAGGGCACTTTATTGTTGGCGAGATTGTAGGTTAGGGTTGGGATTAGCGCTTGGTTTGTTAACATCTCGTGACCTATGACGAAAAATTGAGCTGGCCTTATCATTTAGTACTAACCGAATGAGGCCATTTTGAAGGTTATCACATGTGATGTCATGTGATCAGTTGTGACTCCGATTCTGTAACTAACGCTGGGCGACATGAGCCCGCTTACGACTAGACTTTACAGCCTTTAAATGTATTGACAGTAGGATATCAAATCTTGCATTATGATGAGCTGGATTTTGTCACGCCGTTATTGCGAATCATTGAGATATTCAGTATGTAACGAGGTATCGATTTATAACATCAAATCGCGCGTCCATTAGGTGGGCTATTCAGACAATGCTCATCAAAACGGCAGACGATCTACCTGATTTTTGCAGTTTGGGCCATTTTGATTTAAAAATCGATTCAATTTTGTTTTCCAGTGAGAATCCAAATATCATTCTATGGTCAATGCGATTTTCAGGCCTTCGCTTGAAATATAAATCTAACAGAATTTTTGTACCTGTTTATACTAAGCTTCACCCTTACCAAATCTAAGCAATATAAGCAATCATAACATTGAGATAAGAGTATCCACGAATTCATATTCAGCTGCTCCAATTATTGTACGAACGTTACGACGGTAAATATTGTGTGGGCATGCCCACAAAATATTTCCCGGTTTATATAATCATTAGTTACTGGGGTGTGAAAAATGCTTGCATTCATTTATCATTATGAATGGGTTATAAAAAGATGAAGTGTTCAGTTAGCTTCTATCCATTCTCCATTGTCAGCAGTGCAAAACGGAGGGACTAGCAAGGGCGGCGTCTAGTCGTTGGCATGCACGTAAAAGAACCCCTTAGAAATAACAGTAGGCCGTGGTGCCGCTGTCCTGTCCGGGCAAAATTTACCTCATAGTTCATTAGTCCAATCGGTGCAGAAAAGTAGGAAATTAAAACCCATTTCATTTCCATTAATTCTTACCCCCACCCCTATGCTATGCATCACCACAGCACACCACACCACGTCACCATCAACAACATTCAACCGACACTACTAAACGTTACACGCGAGTATTATATCCTTTGATTTGATAGTTCAATAACTAGGTTTCCTTTAGCAGACGATATGTAGAGAGGATGTGTTTGTAGTACATGGATGAATTATATAATTTGCTTTACCTTTCTTCTCTTGTGGTGACGTAGTTATGAAATTTATAATATTATCAATATCAGTTAATCCAAGACAGTCGATCTTCTATCCCCTGAAATGTGTTACACGGTTTCAAGTTAAATGTAGTTTCTAAAATGATGTCTTTAGCGAATGAATTCTATATAAATACCGGCTCGCGATTTGATTGGCTGACCAGGACAAGCCCTCAAAAAAGGAATCAAACAAAAAGGTATACTGCTAATATTATATACTTTATATAAGTATGGACTACAATTACATAAATGAGGTCACACATAACACACGGACCGTTAAATGTCACAAAAATGCGCTGAAATGTCTACCAACAATAGGAAGCATTTGCTGTTCATGTAGGCTATATATATATATATATATATATATATATATATATATATAAATTGAGAAATCATTCTTCTTTCATTACATCAGCAAATTGTTGTAATTTGCAGCTTTTCATCAACTTCGCAAGCGCGACACACATTTTAACCGACTTTGAAACTAGATCGTTCTATTTCAACCCTTTTTTATTCTTTTATTTAGATCTCAAAGATAAGATAGCGAGTGGTGTATTGTTAGTAAACGAAATATAATAGAACCTTATTAGGAAGACGCATATTTGTGTTACCAAACCTCAACGAGACATGGGAATCTTAACGGCCGTGGGCAACAACTTCTCAGAGAAAATACCCACACAGGACGATATAAATCTTTAAAATATTTTCCTAATAAATACCCGAGCTTATGGTCACCGCAACCCCGTTCTCTAAGTTACTTCCTCGAAAGACAAATATATTTGGAGAATGTGAGTGTGGTGGGGGCTGCAATACTCAAGTCGTTGCTGAATGTTTGTCTTCATACGTGTCTTCATACGTGAAATTTAAACAAGGTGATTGATAGTCACGTGTTTATCGATACACAATCAAGGGTAGATCGTAACTTGAATTACATAATCAATCCCGTTGAACAACTTCAACGATATTTGAATGAAGAGGGGGCGACATTGTGGTTTTTAATTTTACTATTTTGTCAGCTGTTTCATATTCATCTTATTTCCCTTTTTTCTTTTACGGTAAGATGTTATGATTTTCGGCGCTGCATCAGAATGTCTGTCATTGAGTCAAATGTCGTGGTTTCGATTCCCCGGTTGTATGTGTCAAGGAGTAGATTCGCCTGCCCAACCTGGTGGGGTCCCCCCCCCCCCCACTGTTAAAAACCCCTCCGCGCATGCGAATTAATGAAATAAAATTGAACCATATGTTAGTCCCGAAATGACCTAGTTTGTGTCGAGTGGACGTGAAAACCCATTTCTCTCTCCCGTTTATTTTATCATTAATAATATAGGGTGTTTCAATTTATATAAAAAATTAATGCTATGCAGTGGTGTAACCTCAATGAAATCAGAGGTATGCTGAATTATAGAAACATGTTGACAATCGACATAACTTGTTTATAATATAGCAAATATGATTTTAAATATCTCGGTTGTGTGTAACATGATTTTCATAACAACATTTTATGTATATTCAGGCAGCGATTAATATGTCACACTGTAGTTATCACATTCCGTTTACTTTACTAGTTTTCAGCTTTGTCATTTAACTGAAAGATACGGATCATCATTTACATTTTTCGGAGAATATCCAATTCTTCAAGGCTTATTCCCCGCTAAAATAATATCAAATTTGTTATTCAACACTTGATAAGGAAAAGAAAAACAAAATATCAATGTCGAAAACGTTTAATCGTTATACAGGTTCAAGGTTTTAACATTTCCATTTGAAATTGGCTGGTATTATTGAGTCGTGTATCAAATACTAGCACAGTTATAACTCCTTTTGGTTAAAATCTTGTATATTAGGAGGAATTTCAGTGTGAAAATCCGCCCAGTCGCTAATATACTCTTAAAAAAGTAGGGGATATTCAGAAACAATACAAAACTGCGGAAATGCACTGCTGTTTTTATTAGAGGTAACCAGTGTATGTTAATAACATGGGCGGCTTATCTCATGGCCCCATTTCACTCGCAAAGAAATACACCGTCAAAAATGAAAATGGAGGTTTTTGATTTATGTCTTAATAATGAGTAATTGCTCCACCAATCCTCAGACATTCAGCAATTCGTCGTGGCATGCTCCTAATCAACCGTCCAATCATGATTTGGGGCAATCTGACCCACTCCACTTGCAGTGCCACGGCCAATTCTTGCAGTGTTTCGGTTGACGTTGACGTCGACGAACACGTCTCCCGATCAAATTAATCGTAACACACTAAAGAAAAGATACGCTAACAGTAAATCTTATACAAGAACCGATAGGAATGCTAACATGGATATATTAACCAGCACGCGGCAGTTTTCATCAACCCTTCCTTGAAGTATCAAATATGACAATGAACCCCTCCCACGTGTATTGCGCTATTGCGTGTTGCATCTGCAGCTCAGTGGTTCTGTTGGGGCGATAAGTTCTTCATCTGTGAACATACTCTCAAAGCATGTCAAGTGTCCATGACTATTTACCATATCACAACCTGCATAGGTTTTTGCATTTCAATATCCCCTACTTTTTTTTGAAGAGTATATAATTAAAGATACATTATGGGAGATTCGATAAGGAGTTGGCAGTTCTCACTATAATAGTTAAAAACTAGATAATGTAAAGGCAATTTGCTGAAAAATTCATTCAAATTGATCCACTGTGAACCGAGAACTAAGCGGTTGAAGTTTCCGGCTAGCCTTGGTCATCATTACTAAAGTCAGTACGATAAACAGCATAGTCTCCATTATCTATTTAATCGTTAAATCGTGAAGGAAAGTTATGCAGTAAATCGGCCATAATCCACTAAAGATCGCAGGCTAGCGATGCCATCTAGAGTTGATTATGGTCTGGATAGGTTAATTAATGTCTAATTAATAATTTAGATAACATTTCAGGCCTAAAGAAAGACCTGCAGTAGATAGATTTATCTCTTGCATAATGTATGTTTAATGTTTCTTAAATTAATTATTTTAAGAAAATCAATAGGCTTCTTCGTCTCATGACCTTAAACACTGTGTATAAATTTAAAGTCAATCGGATATTAACTTTGACCTCTAGATCGTCCACAAGATTTTTGGAAATGATCAAGGGCCATAACTCTGGCAGTAATTATCGAAAATCGCTGAACATCAATAGACTTCTTCGTCTCATGACCTTAAAAACTCTGTATAAATTTAAAGTCAATCGAATCGGATATTAACTTGAGCCTATAGAGCGTCCACAATTGACGAACGGACGGACGGGGGCGACAACAATATACGACCACATTTCAATGTGGGCCTATAAAAAGCCCGTGTAAAATGGACTAAGCACGAGCAAAGGACTGTCGTTAAATTTGGACACCGAAAGTAATTGATTAGATATTGAAAGAACTATTTTGGAAAAAGGTTGTAAATAACTTTATATGCACTCATATTAAATTAATATTTGAGTTTACACACATTTTCGTTTATTTTAAGGTTCCAAAGAATAGAACTATAGCCCTTTAAACCCCATTCATTCATTCAATTCTAACTGTTCTCTCGCTAAATTGCAAGTCATGCTACTCGTCATGGTTATTTTTAGCAATGTAATGATTTATTATACAACTTAATAGGTGGGTTCGTTTGCCCAATTCTTTTATTTCACGCCACTTCTTTTCAAACGGGTAAGCACAAGCCTATATATACATATATGTATATAATTCTAGGAAGACGTAAGAAAAAGGAAGTAGGTTAGAGTTTGTGTGGATTCCAACTAAACCAATCCATGGCCAAAGACCACAAATGGAAAGAATGCAAAATCATATTCTAAAAAAAAAACCCTGGAAAGAGCTTCGGCTCTCGTATGTCTGCAATATCACTTTTGCGGAAGCAGAAATTAAAGGACCAAGCAGGGGCGTACATAACGATTTTGTTTGCGGGGGTGTTTAGCCAAAATGCGACCGACTGATGCACATACCCCAGTACGAGTGTCGCAGTCAGGAACCGCGCACAGGTGCGAGTTTTCTAGGGGCCATGTGCAGAGCGGGTCTAGAAGCTGGGAATATGGGGTGGGGTTGGGGTGGTTCCAAATCTATCCACAATTCGCCGATCGTTGTCTCGCCGGAAAGCAGTTTTATTTAAGTTGACATAAAGTTTATGTCATATATGATGATTGTGCCTATAACTCTGAGCAACCTGAGAAAATTTTGAAAAATGAGTCAATATCCTAGCATTTGAGGTTATTGCTGGGAGAAAGTCTTGAGGACGAAAGGACCAAAAATGTGAGCCAATGGGACAGAATCTCGAGATCTGCCCCTGTCAATTCCCCCTGTTTCGCAAGAGTTGACATAACATTTGTATAGTCTGACGCCCCACGACCCACACACCAGTATAACGGGGAGTTCACTATAATCGTGAATATGATAGTGCTGAGACAGTATAAGAAACAGAGGAGTAGAAGAATAATGTTATAACGGAATCGAGCGCCGCAGTTACGAAAAAATTCAGATATGTAACCGAGCTTTTAATTTTTCGGAACTGGGCCTGAAAATTTTAGTCATTGTCATGGCAAATGGAACCAAATTCTCGCTAACAAGAGGATAAGAAATGAGACAGAATCTTGTGGCCTATCTGTCAATTTCGCCTGTTTTGCAATTGTTTGTTTGACTCATTAATTCATTTAGTCTGAGACCGACTGCGGTGAGTACTTTTTTGAGACCGACTATTTTTTTTGCCATGAGGGAAAATTATTTCATATAGAACAACATACTCACAACAGAATAAGAGTGACAAACATTTTTTCAAACATGACAAGCAGACATGGTTATTTTATACTATAGTTTTGTGTGACGTATGCAATTTAGGCTCACGGATTCACACAAATACATAGTATTTGGGATCTATTCTGGCATTGTTTGTTTGCCTCATTAGTTCATTGAGTCGCCGATGCATAATTTTGAGACCGACTGCAGTGACTGCACTATTTTCTCCCTGGGGGAAATTTTGTTCATAGACAAACATACAACAGAATAAGAGTGAAACACAACATTTTTTCAAACATGATAAGTTGACAAGGTTATTTTATACTAAAGTTTTGCGTGAGTAGCGTGACGTATGCAGTGAACACTTATTTTGATACCGACT